CCCCCAAACCCCCCCCCCCCCCCAAAAAAAAAAAAAAGAATCTCATCTACCTATATGCTGAAAAGTGATTTACTTCTTTCTTGTTTGCTTATGGACATTTCGAGTTTTTACCAGGTCCTCCATAATAAAAATAGTTACCCCAAACCCGGTTAACTCCTCCTCTTATGTCATAACAATTCGGATGATCCGCAAGAACTCTAAGATTAGATATCGGAATAAGAGTATTGTCCCAATCTACCACCTCAAGATTCCTAAAGTAAGATGCTTTTCCAAAACCTTCGCCCGCAAAATGACCACTTCCCATTTGAGTCGAAGTATGTGAACCATCAGGTCGTGTGTTCACTATCTCGCCACCGAACTGGACCATGTTCCCATGCTCCATCAAGTGCGTAAACAAAGATACCGGCCAATACCCGACTAGTGTACCCGACCCGAATTGGAGCCACCAGTGCCCGTGTTTTGGGTCCTACACATGGTTTTTTGACGAAGTTAGTAGGATCATTCTACGTACGCATGTAAAAGTTGGAGTGAGCTGTGTGACCGTGCAAAGCATTTAATGGATAAGCCATGTGCATGGTTTTAATCAAGAATAGTAAGTATGATTTAAGGGAGACATTCTAAATTAACGCCAAAATAAATTGAATTTATAAATGGTTAGCTTAGGAGACATGTTTAATAAATTAACATGACGTGCAATAATTATTAGGGTGGCACTTGAGTGCCCCTGCCAAATGGGTTTCGAATAAAGATGAAGGAATGAAATGAAATATCGTATTAATATTCTAAATTAAGTGATTATATAAAAGAGTAATCTCATTTTTAGGATGAGATTAAAACGGTTTAAATTTATATTAAAAAACAAATTTTAATATGTTGAAGAAGACAATTACCTTCCATATCAATAGACTTATATCGAATTGTCCACCTTTATATGACGAAACCGGAGAAATAGCAGCTCCTATCGCAATTCTATTATTTGTCTGAATAAAACCAGAACACAATAGGTTATAGCATCCCGTTGCCTGGTACGCATCCGACTGCACAAACATAGAGAGATGTACCTAACAGTTTAGTATATTGTAGAAAACCAAAAAAGAGTTTTTGATTAAAATTTTAAAAACCAAATTTTGAAGTTGGATAAAAAGTATATATGCATACCGTCCAATAGGTGAAGAATCTTGGGTTAGTATCTCCGTAGAGCTCCGGGCTAACCTGTCGACATAATCAAAATGCCAAGAATTCTGATCAATTTCTTTTGCAAAATAAAGAAAAGAATTTTGATCATTTTATGAAAGCAAATAAGAGATGTTATAAAACAAAGAAATTAAATCGAAATGATTAATTGAAAAATAAATATAAATAGGGAGATATATGGCACGTGCCTGCCAACCAGCTTCGATGGTATTAAGATCGTCGGCGAAAGAACCGGCGATGACCCAAATCTGAGATAGACTAAACTCGTTTTGGCTATTTACATGTGGCGTCCACACGTTTATACTCGCTTTTGCTCCGTAGTATTTACTTCCCGATACGTATCCCACCGCATGCTATACACACAATTTATGTGTCACTTTTTGTAAGAGATTATACCATTGAGTTGAAAATATAGAGTAATAGTATTTTTTTATTAATGTCTGACAAGTAACATTCTGTTAGTGGCATTGCAAAGAATTGCGAGAAAGGTGGTTTTTGGTATTATTATGTATCTATTTCTTTTCAGAGTTTAATAAATAAAAAGTAATAAGCTCTGACTTCTTGCTAAAGTTAAGCTAATTATAATGAGTACCTCGTGGCCATTACTGCTCGAGTCCCTTCTCACGCGCCTTATTTTCCGACCAAATCTACGGACAGAACTTGCTCGTAACATGTCTTGCTCCGTTGTTCTTCTGATCGGGATCGTACCTTCTGGACAAAACTCACCGGTTAAACTCCAAAGCTGAAAATCTTCATGGGATTCATTTTCTTGGCTATGCCCTTTGGGCATCTCTGGGGGATCCTAAACATGTTTGCATATAATTTAGAGGCTTTGAGATTTAAATAATTATGATACGTACAAGAAATGTGAGCTTTTTTACCATTGGTCTTTGTCCTTGTAACAAGGGATGATCAAAAGCTGGCTGGTGATGAGATGGAACACAATCTATTATATCTCCATCTGAGCTCTGAAATCATCACAAGAACATTAACTTTGTCAGAAGTTTTCTTAATGGTAAAATTCGCTAATGTTGCATATTTTGAGAAAAAAAAAATTGTTTTAGAAGCTTAAAAGATGTATAGCAAACACTGATTTTTTCAATGTTAGAAATTAAACAAAGAGTAAACTAATATATCAAAAAAATATGTCAAGATTTGTTAGTAAATTCTAAAAAAAAAAGTTCCTTAAAAATAAACGAACACACGTCTCTGAACTTAGTTTACACACACAAAAGAAAGAACAGAGATTGGATTTTTACCTGAATGGTCTTAACGGCGGGTTTATTGATCTTTTGAAGGTGTTCTCTGATGAGTTTCAGCTTCTTAATCTCATTTTGAGGCCGGAGAGTCACACTTTTGTCTGTAGCATTATGTAGAGAAGCAGAAGAGAAGGAGGAATAGAGGCTGAGTAAGAGAATGAGAGTGAAGATCAAAGAAGAAGACATTGTTCTGTGTTGAGGAATCTCCTCGTGTTCACTGTAGTGACTTTTCTGAAAGGTATGAAAAAACACTAGTTGTGTGTGGTGTTAGATGAAGGTAAAAACATTTATTGCAAGCATATTGTTGTTGTTCGTCTTCTTCATGTCACTGACACATCTTTCCAACAAACCCCATTTAAGACAAAATGACTTCTCTAATGAAAACCCAGAGCCCCTAAAATCCAAGAATTAATGAATCAGCTAACTCTCCAAAAATAAATGAAATATGGAGTATATACGAAGCTTAGATTAGTAAAATTTTTGGGGCATGTTGGTTTACATATAAGGTGGTATAAATACTGGGTAGTTATGTAAACATGGAATGGTGTTTAAATTTATTTACTTTTATTAGGTTTTTGTGAGGGATTTTAAAGAGAGAAGATTTTGATGTAGCTTTATCGATATGTGAAAGCGATAGTATTTTATAGTAAGTAATGCGAGGAAAGATTTGTAAACTTGGATTTGGTTTAAAAGACAAAAATTGATGTTTTTAAGATAGAAATTGAAAACTTTATATCTTGATTTTCTTAAAGATCTTTGCTTTCTTATTGTTATTCACATATGCTCCCTAGCTAGATATACCTCTTCTACCACATCTTTGAATTGGATTATCAAGCAAAATTTAACTGTAATTATTTCTTACAATCAAACCGTGTCAAAAAAGAATTACTAACCCTCCTTTGATTTCCAATTAGTCAAATAAATTTTGGAACGTATGAGTTGTTTGGTTCTCATGAATATATCAAACATACTGTCATTTCCTAAATATTTAACAATGTAGCTAATTTTTTTCTTTGTAAATTACAGTTTAGCTAACTGTTATATAAATATATATACACTCATAAATCTCAAGCATTGGGGCATAATGATTTCCAAAAACATTAAGCCTGGATCTTCATGTGAATTTACGAACCTCCGAGAATATATGCATTATACATGGAGTACTTAGGGGGTTAGGTTCCAACATCCAAACTCCAAGAGCACATTCGTTAATAATATTTTGACCCGATACTTCTTCCCCGAAAATTTATGGTTTGACTTTTTTTGGTAAAATATTTTTCTGAACATTGATTTCGGCCAAAAGCCAGTATATTCAATATATAACAAAAAGATAAGACATATGTGAGTTTGGTTCGTATAGTACATACTAGTACTAGTTGAGAAATGAGAACAATAACACGATACATCTTAGCTAATGGGTTCCAGTCTTCCTCTGTAAACTGATATCATATCGTTCACTTGATATGCCACTGAAAAAAAATAAACAAATCAGTCAAGTGGTTGATATATTACCGTGTTGGTGAAAACCGTGAACAAAATTTTACTACGTAAATATTTAGTCACCTTATAATTACATAGCTTGGTTGAGAAGAATAGTCTATAAAGCAAGTAGAAAGAAACTCGAGAGTGCCTTTGTTGGAATGATATTGTCCAGTCTTTTTTTTTTTGGACAAAAGATATTGTCCAATCTTTAAAATCGAGGGAATGATTGGGAACCAAGAGCATGCAGACATGTCATGTTTGCCTTTTGGTTACTATTTAATATTTAATCTCATCATTAAGAAAACATGATTGGCTGCGTTAAATGTGTTAATGCAATGCAACACCTTCACTAATCCCACATATAAAAAGCGTTTCATATATAAAAGATAATTCAGATTCAAATAGTCAATTTTTTTATGTAATGCATCAACTAGAGTAAAATGCTAAACAATAGTTTGTGTGCGTCACTAGCTATAATAAATTTAAAAGCATGAGCATTAAGTGGGTGCATGTACATTACTTTCCTCCTAATTACTATTTTTGTCTAAAAAAATTATCAGTTCTTTTAGTTTTGTTTGTTTCAATCAACTAAACTATATATTACCAAAGTTGACCTGACCTACGATTAAGTTCAAAATAACCGAAATCTCATTGATCTCCAAAAAAAAATTATTGTCAGAGACATGGCCGTCTCAATTTATTTATGGACCCTATTCAAAATAAAAATTATTAATGGTATATTTCAGTTTATTGGTATATTTAATGTTTTTTCAAACTATAAACCATAAATTAAATAATATATCTAAAATCTTAAAGTTTTAGATCTTGATTAATATATTTACTTTAAAAATAATTTTAACTTTAAAAAAAATGATGGACCATGTTCGATTGTTCCATTTGTTCGTGTTGTTAGACGTCCTGGTTAGAGAAACATTTTAAAAATTAATTGATAGGGAGAGAGAAGGAAAAACGGGTGAAGATAATTAAAGATGAATATTAAAGCTAACAAAAGGAGGATGGAAACAGTTTGATGTAAAAGCAATCATCATGTCTCTAGAGCAGCCTGGAGCACAGTTTTTTTCAGTTTTATATCAACCCATACCAGTTAATTGTGATCAGTATGGTGTAAACTATTGAAACAAAGTACGATTCGGCGTTGGAGTTATTAAAACTATGATATGATGAGTCATTATTTACAAAAGTGGCGTGAAAGGATGGACGTTAATGTTCGGACCATGCATGAACTTCACTAAGGGTACATCATCATGGATTCTCATTGTGAGGTGTCCATTACCATTACCATGAAATAGTTATAGCTGCAAGCTGCATATTCAAATTTTTAAAAATAAGAATATATTAAGACTAGACAATGAACATGTGATATCTATCGTTTAAAGAGATTTTTAACGTGTTACAAGATGAAGAAACTGTTGTTAGGCCATTTACATAGTTGGAGATGTCTTCCACATTTCTATAGACCGGCTTTAATATCGGATACTTCGATTTTTATAAAAATATAGTATGACAATGATCATCAACTCGGGTTCCAGAGAGAACAAAACCTACAATATGAACTGTCAAAACTATCACTGGACTAGCAAGGAGTTAAATTAAACAAGTATACGGTCATAGTGACGAATGATGTCAATGGTGAGAGAATGACGCACACGCACTCAAGGTTAAGTTTCCTTATTTAGATAAAACGGCGACCAAAACACCAACAATGGTCAAGATGGACCATTCAACCACCTTAATCATCCACGCCTAAAAGTTTCAAACAAAAACACAGCAAAAAAAAAAAAACTTCTGTTTTGAAGACCTCCAACCAGAAGTTTCGGTCACTAGTCATCGAAACCTTCCATATGCGTTTGGATCTCTCTACTGGCTCGGGCCTCATACGACTTAATAATTTCTTTTTTTTTTTGTCGATAATAACTCATACGACTTAATAAAAGCATACGTTTAAGATTATTTCCTAATTAAAACTAGACAAATGAAAGTGTATTAAAAAGAACAAATTAAACGCAAATCATAAGTTAACTACAATTCTCGTGAAATTTGAAACATCATCTATTATATAAAGTAAAGTATCACTCCCTCTAAGGGGTGCCACATCAGATTACATGTCATCAAGTCCACGTGGCCACTCCAGTTTCGTTTTGGGTCGTGTTATTTTTGTGTCTGGGCCTCCTAAATCTTTTCAGGCTCCAATAACTTATTCGCTCCTCTGCAGATTAAGACAACAAGGAGACGAAGAAGAGGAACAAAAAGAACCAGAAAGGAAGCTACGAGGAGGGTTCGATTAGGTTTTTGAGTGAGTCCAGAGACGTCAATGGCAGCGGCGGCTGCATCCCAGTTCCTGATGTTTGGTGTGGTCCAGGACTAGGGTTCTCGATGGATCCTCCGAGGAGAAAGCTTTGACCGTTGCGTTGCAAAATCGACGTGAACTATTCGAACCAAACAAAGGTAAAGGTGGTAGCTTTATGTTCTGTATATGTAATTGCAAGTTAAAGTTTGAGTTTTTTTTGTGGTGTGTTTAGTTTTATTACATTGATTTGTCTCAGTGAACAGTATCGGTTTAGACAGAAACTGTTTGGAGTTGTTGAAGCTATAGTCGTTGTAGCATCCTTATGTTGTTCTTGAGGACCAACAAACGTCATCTCGATCTGGTTCGCTCAAACGTCGTTTCTCTCCCCCGATGTTCAGTCCAAAATTGCTCCAGCAAGTAGTGAACCTTACACCATAACAACAGTACGAGGTACTAAAGCTGCAACAAGCTCTCAAGGAAGACCACATGATGAAGCCTTCTTAGCACTGAGGTTTTTGTCTTATATGCAATGCTTTAAATGAATCTCACCTTGCTTAAGAGCTGCGTTGTTTTTCCTTCTTTCTTTTTTTTTTCTTTCTTCTTTGTGATCCAATTCTTGCTAGGTTTCCTCCCTCTTCAATACACAGGGACAAGCAACGGGTGTTGGTCGGTTTCATTTGATTGAAACTTGCACCGACGAACATGTTTTCACACGCAAATTACCATAAGAAGATGGGCTCTCTCTCTTAAGTATACGCCTGCTGGCAAGCATCTCTGCTTCCTCAGCTGAAACGGCCATGTGACTAGCTTTTAGAACATGGTTAGCTTAACATTTAAAACGTACTTGATGTGTTCCAGCTTGCGGTGCTATGTGACAGATAATTAAATATGTATTGGTTTTCGGTGTAGGGAGCTGGTGGACCAGAAGAGGAAGATAATTGATGGCTGCCCTGCCTGAAACCTCTGCTTAAAGAGCAGTTCTTTGTTCACTGCTTCATGTAGACTCTCACAAGGGTGATGAAATGAAAAGTTTATGGTATCTTCATCTGCACTAAGTTACGCCTTATATATTACATCTCTGTTTTTTTTTATTAAATGAAGTTCCACCTTACTCTTCTGTCTTCATACGCAGTATTCAGTCATTCACGGCTTCATGCTTCATCCCAGCTCGCCGTGCCAATCACTACCGTCACTCCCTATGAGAGGGGTCCATCGTAAAAGTTGATCGGTTTGAAGTTTGCCGATGCACTAATATGTAGAGGAACTTCATGCTCAGGAAGTTAGATCATCTCAAAGCTCTTGCAAACACTAACTTAGGGCTCCCCGGTATAGTTTTCAATAGAGTTTCCATACTAAATTTCAGCGACAATCTATATATACTATGTTTTTCTTATTTAAAAATGTTTCAGTTTTCAGATCTGCGTGGGCAAAAACGTTATGTTCAAGGCTCTGGCCTGAACAACTCTGAAGCAATCACACGCATTGTGGTCCATCTACTCATTGACTAATCCATGCGTTTACATTCTCATATTTTAAAATCCTTGCCTCATGAAGGTTTTTAAAAAGAAAACTAATTTAATCTCCCATGACAGTTTTGTTGCTGTGTACGGATGACGCTGCTGCAAAATTTATTGTGCTTCTAAACTCAGGTGATAAATCCGAGTCTGTAATGGTGGTCACTAGAGTTTAATCTAAAAATATTTAGAGCCTTGGAGTTATGGTTCAATAGTAAGGAACATACATGTTTATGGTCCATTTTTCCTGCAATCTTTAAGGAATAAACATGTTTATTGTGCAGTTTTTATGTTTACTACTCTTTTGTTGTTTCAAATAGAATCAACTAATGTTAGCATTGCTATTCTCCTCAAGACACAGGAAGCTGATTTCATTTGTAAGGCTCAGATTGTTGGTTCTTCCAACAAAATGGGTAGTCCTTCGTTTCTTGCACCATTTTGTTTTGTACGGCTAAAAATAATCGTTATGGCTGTTGATGACGGAAAGACAGTGCCACTTTGTGGTATTTGACAGAGAGCTGGCAAAACTCATCAAGAAAGAGACAACAAAACTGGCTCTTGATGAGATATGTTTACCTTTCACTATACGTGTTTAAGTTTTTATACAATTGTTTCTGTTACTGTAAATGAACCCAAAATGTCTGGAGGAGCTAGCTGGGAATGAATATGTTTTTCCAGCTACGTGTGACTCCCTACAATACCTGTTATTTTGAACTCAGGGAGAGATGGGGTAATCTATGTACTCACAGTTTATTTAATTGCTGATATAAATTAACACTCATGTGCTATTGTTTCTTATTGCAAAATGTATTACTTAGATTGCACCAACGGCGAGCTTTGCTCTCTTCGTCTGGCCATCACAAAGATCACCTCACCATCCAATCCAAGTGTGTTCTGCTATAATCTTAATTAGTTTTTTGGTTGGTTGTGCTCTGTGGTTTAAGTTTCCAATTTGTATTGATTGGTTTTGGCAGATAGGTCGATCCATAACTTGAAAATATTTATATATCAATAGCCTGCCACAATGCTTGGATCCATAACTTGAAAATATTTATCTCTCGTCCAATGAGTGAATCTCCACTTATAAAAAAGGTAAGCCTCATCTATTGAAAATCATCTTCACATTCCAATAGCAATAGAAATTTCTCAGAATAATTTTTTTTATATGGATTGACACCGACTAGGGTATTTGGAAAAGGTTAGTGGAGGAGACGGTGGTGGTGGTAGCCAACATCATGACGGCACTGAAACTGATAGGAAGAAGAAACGTTAGCATCGTCACACCGCTCAATAGATTCAACAACTTGAATCGTATTTTCTTTTCTCTCACTCATTTTTTTTATTCATACAGTCTTATAATGATTTGAATCTCTTGCAAGAATTTCAAGGAGTGTCCTCATCCACGGGATAAGCAGAGGAACCAACTTAGCAGAGAATTGGGATTTGGCTCCAAGACAAATCAAGTTCTGTTCCAAAACAGAAGAACTCAGTATAATGTTATGTGTCTTAATCTCTCTCTCTTTTGTGTGTTTAAAATTTTGTCTGAATAAGATTTGTTGATTTTTTTTCTGTAGGCGCAACATGTGAGAGCAGATAACAATGCACTAAAGGTAGAGAACGACAAGATTCGATGTGTGAACATAGCCAAGTCTAATAACTTGGCTACTATATCAGACATGGACAAGCATCCTATGAAAGACATTGCTTTGACTACGATGGAAGAATTGCTTAGGCCTTTTAACACAAACGAACTTCCTGGAATAGAGCTGATGGTGGCGGCGGCAGAGACGTTCTCAATATGATGCTCAGGTTTATATGTTTGCAGAGTTTAATTGACTATGAAACCGGTGCTGGTCAATGCTTCCTCAGGAAGTAAGATGCTCAAATAATAGTCTGTTAGTTACGAGCATGAAAGGCAACAAAATCGTGGTCTTTAGATTCTCAATGGTGTATGTATGATATTATTTAATTTCAGAAGATTATACAGAGACTGTCTCAGATTTTTGAAGAATGATAGTTCTTTGTCCATCAGGCTCACTTACACGAAATCTCTAATCCCTTTTCTCTAATCCCTTTTGTTGCTATTATTTGTTGTATGCAAAGATAAAAGGCCATGGTTATTTTCAAGAACTTTAAATGAATTCAGTCATGGGAGCTTGACCATTAAGTATATGGAATATATTACTAGATTTGTCTCAAGGTTGTTTTGAATGAATGAATTATGAAAATTATATTCATCGAAGCACATGAATACAATAATTAATAGCATTCATAATTAACCTTCAGTTACTCATTTTTTGTTCACAAAACCCATTTTACAATATCATAAATTTCATGCTACAATATAAACTTTTTCTCATCTATATATATAAATTAAACAAAATATTATAAATATTGAAACTCTTCAAAAAATAATATTTCATATATAACTAATCTTAACATACATAATCCTTCAACAACATAATATTCTAAAAAACGAAAAACATTATTATATACTTCACTTATCAAAAGTTTACATTACCTGTAAAACACAAAGAAAATTCTAAAAAAAAACATGAATTACTTTAGAGATGATTTGAAGTTTTAAGTCATATTTGCGAAAAATCCTTTAATAAGTTAGTTTAGTGAAAAATATTATAAAACTAAACATTGAAACTAAAATAAATATTAAAAAATATAATGCTATTTATCAAAGAATAGTAAAGGTTACTGTCATTATAATTCAAAACAAAAATATTTATTATAATGATCTCATAATTCTTTTATTATTTGTTTGTTTATAATATTTATTAATTTATAATCATTTAAAAATATTTTATAAATTAATAGAAAATAAGTTTTATTACAACTTCCCGCCCGTAGGGCGGGCCGGCCCTAGTTGATAATGAAAATATGTTACGTGCACGGTTAAGTCAAAATAAAACATGATCTCCTTCAACCAATTTTAAAAACCCTATAAAATTAAGAAAACATGTACTATGGATGTGCTTGGTTATATGGTTTTCTCCTCTCTTCTCCAAATTCCAGTTTTTTTAGAGCTATAAACTCTTAATAAAAGGAGATAAAGGGAGAAACAGATCATATGTATCTTAACTAATATAAAATTACGAAATAAAATACTGAAACAGAAGTTGACATGTTTGAATAAGACTATGATTAATCCGAGTTCTTAGAGCACCTTTAACCTCGTGGCTTAAGGGGAGGTGGCTTAAGAAAAAATTATATAATAATTAGTGGAGTCCAGCAGAAAAACAAACAACGCTGCCAATAGCTCTTGAATAAGCCACGGATTTGGTCTGTTGCTTAGAAAATCGCGGGCCCCACTGACACGTGGCGGCCCGTGATTGGTCAATTTTTTTTTAAATTTTTTTTTTTTTTATAATCAGAAAAAAAAAATTTAAGCAACCCTTTTGGGTTTTTGGATTAATGGTGCTCTTAGGTTAAAGTTTTTAGCTTCGGCTAAGAACAGTGTCTTAGTTTTTAACCAAGAAAAACTAAGAACCATCTATTAAATAAGAGATATAAAAATCGGTTCTTAGTCGAAAAATATATAAAAAAAAAAATTCAAATCATGAGTTAAGAACCCCAAATTAAGAATCCGAGTTAATCATGCTCTCTATAAGAAACCAATGTCCAAACATTTTCCATACACATACAAAGATCTTCATCTTCGCCTTTTTCTTTATTTCTTAAATCAGAAATTAGTCAAGAAAATAAAAAACATATTACTCATTTTTTCAATGCAATCCCAATTCTCCTTGACAAAATCATACAACAAGGGTAGCAAGAGCCAAACAATTATCAGCCATCTTGTACAAAACCCCTGCGGATTTATAAACAACGTTATCCCCACGAGCTCCCTTCATTGTCTCGCTACAAGTATCGTAGTCCGTCAACGCAGCACTAAGGTTGATGTTAAGGCTAAAACGATCACCTTCCTTAATGTTCTTAAGAGCCTTGTCCAAATTGTCAAACGCGCTGTTGAAGTTGGACAAACAAGTCGAAACACCACCGTCAAGTACTTTCATCTCTTTCTTGGCGATATCTCTGGCTTGCCTCGTCCTCTTCATTAGCTCTCTTATGGCCACATCCGTAGCTGCGTTCACATTCTTTTGAGCCCCTATGGTGCCTCTGCACAGTGCGGGATAATCCGTCGCCGTGCAAGGGTCGTCGAGAAAGATACTAAACGCTGTAGCGCTTGTGCATGAGACAGCGAGGAGGAGGAAGATCGTTCCTAGGACGGTCACGTGGGTAGTGGTTGACATTGTGTGTGTGTGTGTAATATCTACAAGAAACGTGCGATTTTTGTGATTGTTATTGAGCACAAGGTGGTGGATTAGGTTTGATGAAGAGGAAGGAGGTGAGTTTATATATAGTAATTTTTGAAGAAATGACTTGAGTGAATTGCCAGCGTTGGATTAGACCGGAACATATCTATTTTGGTATGTTTGTTAGTTAGGTATGATAGTGGTTAGTGTTTTTGTTGTTCTATTTAGGGGAATAATCATGGTTCGTTTCAACATATATGGAACATTCTGTACAACTGATTTTTGTTTAAATTGCATGTACTTATATCAGCTTATGTGCCTAACGAATTAGTGAATATAAAAGAATGATCCAGTTTGGACCAAACTGGTAAATGATAATATGATTAAGTGTGATATATGGTGGTGATTCTTCCGTTTTAAAGATTACTTTCTGTAATTTTTTTGTATACGTTGTAATTTTACAAGTATACACATACAAAGAAGTATTTGTTCTCGCATAATTTTCACTTTATGTACTAATTTGCATATTTTGGATTAACTTGTTTATCATATGAAGATGTGGAATGGTATGGCATAATACATTTGACTTTTAAAGTCTTGATAACATCGAAATAAGGATAGATAACAATTCCTCTACATTTATAGATCAATCTTTAACATCCTAAAACAGAGCTTTTTTTTAAGAAAATCAAAACAGACAGTGAATTTATGTTGGTGTTGAATGCTATTCGTTTACCTCACGGCGACCAAATTCCCCATGAAACCACCGCTAATCTCATAATGGCGTGCACTTGAGAAGCCAGCTTCCATAGCAAGAGCCTCTAGCTCTTCTCCTGCAAAAGAACAATTCCACATTCTATTCAGCCCTTCACGAAAGAAACATAGTCTTTGGTGGGAATTTACAAAGGTGAAATGTCACAAATCCTATAGAAAACACACAACATGATTATACAATATAGTAAGTGACATATGCTATTGGTGAAGAACAAAACCTGTTAGGTACCCATTGATTGAATACTTCAGATATTCATACTCCTTTGCAAGATTATAAAGAGTAGCCACAGGGACAACTACATTGTCAATCATCCAATCCTTGCAATAACCAAAACCACCCAACAAATTATTTGCCTTAGGAAACATGAATTCACAAATTAAACAGCCACACCTCCTAGTTAGAAAAACAAGAACCTGCATAAATGTAGTAACTGATTGGTCGCTCTTATTGAAATCAAGTATGGACACTCTCGAACCTGAAAACCAAACAGAAGACAACTAAGCATATAGCACAAAAAGCTTTTATAAACAAATGCAATGTATATCACCTGGTTTCAGAACTCGATACATCTCCCTCATGGCTCTATCTCTACCAACAACATTTCTAAGACCATAACCCATTGTAATAGCATCAAACTCACAGTCATCAAATGGCAAATCAGTAGCATCACCTTCTATCCACCTAAGATAGAATACATATTAACATCTTTTCCTTCAAAAATGTTGCATCACTAACAACAAAAAAGCATGAATGTTACCAGTAAGTAGTGCTCACTCTATACACTTGTAGCAAGACCTCCCTCTAAGTTTCTGTCTAGAAGCTGCAACAGCTAATTGTTCAGAGGAGAAATCCAAACTCATCACCTACAAATCAAACCCAAATTAATAACACAGAAAACAAGACTAAGCCAAAATAATTAATTAACCTTTCCACTTGGACCAACTTTCTCAGACAAGAGAAAAGCTAAATCACCACTTCCACAACACAAGTCAAGAACTTTATCTCCTCTTCTCGCTCTAACCTCAATAAAAACAAGACCCAACATCAAAAGAAAAGATTTTTAAAAACATACGAAAGAGATTGAATTTTGTCTTTCACACTAACCCGCTCCAGGAAACAGACATGTTTTTCCAGATACGATGTTGTCCTAAGCTTAATAGATCATTCAGCTACAAAAAAAGTATGAAAGGAAAAGAAAAAAAAAGATAAAGGAAAAGAGATTAAAAAAAAGAGCCAATGAAAGAAGAGAAGGGGAAGTGATGAAAACGTTATCGTAAACGGGAGCAATGCGGTTGAATAGAATCTGACGTTCGTCGGAGGAGGTCGAGGACTTAACAACAATTCTCCGTCGCGAAGGAAATTTCGCCGGGAGCTGGTTGTGGCCGGTGAAGGTCACCGGAAAGACGGTACCGAGTAGAGCCGCCATTTTTAATGGAGTTGATTAGACGATCATGTTTGCTTTGTGCAAGTTACACGGATTACAGTTTGTTATTGGGCCGAGTTGGACCGAGGTAATACAAACCGTGATTTCTTGGTTTTCGTTTTCAAGACAGTTTCTACACAAGAACCGATCAGCAAGATTTGAAAATTCAATCGTTTGTGGTTTGGTTTGGTTCAGCAAACACTAATCAATTGGTTTTAACAGAATGGAATTGGGAGATAATCAAACATTCAAACTTACCCAAAATAAACGTGTTTTGTGAATTCACCGAAGATACAGAGAATATAACCGACTGATTATGGTTTTTTTTTTCCAAATCAACCAAGTATACCAAGATATAAAATAATTTTATTTTCAACTCGAAAAAACATAATAGTGTTCAAGACAAACGTTATAACCTGAATTTCAAACCGTGCCGAACCAATATATAGCCTGGTTAACTTCAGTGACATTTTTCTACAAGCCAAAAACCTGAACACTAATAAATAACTCAATCCAAAACCGAATGCCTATGACTGAGTAAAACGTTTGGATCATGTTTCCAATTATTTTTAAACTAGATTTTGACCCGCACAACCGTGCGGGTGTTATTTTTAATTGTATATCCATATATATTTATTTGATACTATTAATGGTATATATTTTAATTGTAATCATATATTTAAAGATTTATATAAGTATGTCATATACAATAATTTATAGCTCACCTGTTGTAAATAATCAACTATTTAAAACAGCCACATGTATTTGTTACTTCTTATTATGCATTTATTTTTATTGTATTTGCATTTAGTTATTAAAAATAATAATATATGCATAAAATATTTAAAAAATATTTTATATTTAATTTATGTTAAATATTTACGCGCCCTTCAAAACATGATTTTATATTAGTAATATTTTATGATTATTCATTTTACATAATATATTATTATATATATATATATATTGTAGTTTGTCATCATATTATATTTTTTTAGCATAAATAGTTTATATTTACGAAAATAAAATTTCTAAATCTATCAATTTTAATAGAATTATATCATATGTAGTTCAATATAATAATTTTATTTTAATATGATTGATTATGATTATGAAATAGATAAAAGTATGATAGTTTTTGAATTTTAAAAAAAATAACTGTATATATATTAATGCATAATGTATTTCATTGCTAAATTATGAGATTAGTTAAAAGTATTTACAGAAATATTCTGAAAAGATATTGTTAAAAATATTTAGATCAACATAATAATTCTTTTAATATGATTGATTGTGATTATATAACAGAGAAAAATAAGATATAATAATTATTTTTCATTTTATAAATGATAAGTTAATATGTTAATGTATAATAATACTTTAAAACTAATCACGAAATTAATTAAAAAAATTACATATAATCTTCGAAAATTAAAATCTTGTTAAAATCTTACTAAGCAGATTTTCCAAAAATTTTAAAATATATATAAATGTAAAGATATCAAAATATATTATGATTAAAGTAGTTTAAAGATTCTATATATTATTAAAGAATTTTTAGTTGATGGTCCAAATTTAAAAAAGAAAATCACACATGAAATGAAGTCATACTTCTCTTTTAATATATAAGATTAGAAAACAATATATGTTGAAAAAATGTCAACAAAGTTTTGAATAGTATTGGCTGAGCATATATCTTATTTTCAAATGTAGAACAAAAATTAGTTTTAGTTAACTGAATATAAAAATTCTCATGAAAAAATATATATCTTTAATATTTTCCTCTAACAATACTTTTTGGTTTGTCTACTTAGTGGCATATGATCACGATATTCTTGGTTGATTTACTTAACAAATTAGATTTGCATATATTTTTGGTTTATCAATTTAACAAATTAGTTTTATGGAAGATATTATGCAAGATATTCGGTTGGCTGAACAATAAATTATTTATCAAATATAAATGTTATATTAATTTACATGAATTAAGCATATGAGATTTTAATGTTTATATTAACAGTACACCATGTTCATCTTCTCCAAAAGTTCAATGTGTTCAGTTCATAAAGTAATAAAAAATATTAATAAATGTTCAAGGCTAATAACAACATATATCTTTATTGTATCAAGCGAGCATCGTTGATTCATGGTTTATTGTCTAATGCTTTCCTCTACTGGAAATACAATCCAATCAAAACACACAAAGATCAGTATTTTTTAATCTCTCCATTGACCTTAATATCAAATCATCATACACATCGATTTCAAAGTGAATGTGCAAACACATAAAAAGATGGTTGGTTGTAATCTAAGTTACAGACCTTTATTCAGAAGTAAATAACATTAACTTGATATTCATTAAAAGTCATAGAATTTACGTAAGTTGATATTAGATTATTTTGGTATAGAGTAAAACTTATGAGACATTAATGAGTTGTTACATTAAAGTGGTTCTAATATTAACATACTAATGATTAATATAATTAATGATAGAAATTTCTTATGTGATCAATTTTTAGTAGAAGGTCTAAAACTTAAAAAATCATACATGAAGTCAAGTTATGACTTCTGTTTTAATATATAAGATTGTCGATTCTGAAAAAAAGTGAAAATAATAAAACTTTTAAATCAAGATAGGACAAACCTTTAGAAGAGACCAAATAAGTCACTTATTATAGAAGGCATATTCACCGATAACAATAGTTACAAAGCATTTGACGTAGACTTGTCCCTTGGTTCTTTCCTACATGTGACTTGAGTAAATATTCATTCATGTATCCATCCTTCATTGCTCTTTTTCCACTTTTTTCCTTCTTCTTTTGTCGGCAAATCAAAGCAGAATTTATACTAAGGAAAACATGTCAATACACCCCCGTTTCTTTTCTTTTACTTCAACGTTAAATAACATGATCGTCCATCATGCAAAAGGCATATTCTCTGCCTGATTCCAGTGACGTTTTCTTTGGTTTATAAACCAATTGTTGATCTGTTTCTGGTCTAACCCCGTTGCATCAGCTAAAGCTATCTTATCACCTTCCTGTAGACATCCACATGATATCATCACTCAAGTTAAATATATAGTTGCAAACATATAGTGTGTTTTTTTGGCTTACAGTAGGGTAAGGCCATTTATAGTGAACACTCCACCAATCAAGTAGCGCTTGTCTTGCTTCTCTTGGTAGTTTTCCTTTCTTCTTCTTTTTTGAAAACTCCAGCTTTAAAGAACTTATACCGCTTCCGAATTTGCGAAGCAACCTGTCCTTGAGATCACGGTCTTCACATATTTGTTTCCCATCCTGTGATATCTCATCGCCTCCACTTAGTTCCTCGTCAGATGAAACTGCACGTTCCTCTAGCACACGTAAAATGGACAATCATTCAGTAACTCTAGACATTAATATGAACTGAACGTGTTTTCACATGCACGTAGAGATGAATGGTTCACAGAAAGTTAGTAGACAACTTCTTAACATTTTTTACTAAAAAAACAAAAAGTTAGTAGACAACTAAAGGACAGCCACTAAAATGAAAATAACAGATTAGTTGCAACTATAAATTTAGAGCCGGCTTAACGGCTAAAGTGGCTCAACAAGAAGGAGAGGGCAAAAATGGAAAAGAAACCGCCGCAGTGAATAGTTAACTCCATCGATATTGTGTCAGTACAGTAGAGAGGACTAATAGTCTTGTCTCCATGAGGACACATCCCCCACAACCGGACCCTACTTCATCATCTAAATGGGACTATGACACGTGATCATAACTCACAGAGGTTGTGTGAACCCCCGGAAATAACGCTACACCTCGCATTTATGTTCTTCTTCCCCACAACACCCCAAAACCTATATTTGCACATTTACATATATATATGCCCCAACGACTCTACTGACCCACTAACACAGAGCTTCCTGACATCAAACTCAACCCCAAGAGTCCAAGAAACATTTCCTGATTTCATAACAGTTTTGCATGTGTGACAGAAAGATAAGTCGGAGTAAGAAACCGTGGTTACTTCCGAATTAAAAGAGACAGTCAGTAATGCATACAAAGTTATGGAAAAAAAACATTAGAGCTAGAAAGTATAGATTAAAGTTAAAAAAAAAAAACAAATAAATGTAACACGTTACTGCCCACATATCTTTTTCCAAAGAAGGAAAAGCATGCAATGTGTTATGTAAGCCACATAAAGTTCTTGAAATTAAATTTAAACAAACCCTACAAATTCGACTAAT